TTCAACACCTCTAGTTTCGACTCTCTAAACTTATCTCACTGAATCATACTTCTTGAATAATATCTTCTAATCCTAACCTCTCCGATTATTTCTAATTCCCTTACTACCTCTTCTACTATTGGATTTGAATTGAGGATTACTCCTCTGTGCTGATGTGGTATGGCAACATGAACTGATGTACTTATGTACAAAGTTCTACGTTGCATCTGACTGACTACTACTCGATCCTACTCTGTTGCTAATACGAAAATTTCCATATTTACCAATAGTGTTGTATTTCCTGACATCAGTATCATGTTGATTACGGTTTGTGTTATTTGCTAATATAGCAATTGACGATTGTCAATTGACTGTTACCAAAATCTTGTGTTTCATAAACCCAAGTCACATCAACCTCTCATACCGGTTTTAGGATAAGGGTATTATATCACTTTGTAAATAATTATATCTTCTTTACAATAGCAGTCCCTCCCGACTGCCTAAATCAGGATAGATATCACAGCACTCAGAGTTGAAACCTATTGGTTAGAAACCACTGAGCCACCTCTGCTTTACGCTTTATTATTGCATTTTGAGTTATGACATGTGAAAACCAACTTCATTAAAAAGTTCATATAATACAGTATTCTCGTTTTTCGAATTCTAGGGAATGTCGCTAAATCTAGACAGTTTTTATCTTTTCTACAACGTGCCGAGCGACTGGACGGTGTGGTCGAATTTGTATTCAGTGCAAGTAGATTCCGTATTTATGTACCACGAGAGACCTGTGTCATCACTTTGTTGCTTGCTGGTATTCAGTGTCCACGTCGAGGAAGGTATGTTCATTTTAAGAATGTACACATTTTTTTTTGAACATTTGTAAATAACCGACTTATTTCTTGCTGATCATCGGCTTTGAATAATTTGTAAAGTGTGACGAAAGCCAAATAGGTAGACATCCCTAGATAGTTGCTATATCGACGATATAGGCTCTTTTAAAAAATGAAGGTGGCGATCTTCGTCTTATTCCATGATAATGCATGATTTCTCTAAACCTTTCCAAACGGCTCTGTCCATTTACTGACCAGAAGTTCATCATCACCTTTAAAAAATGCCACGTGTGAATTATTTGGTTCTGGTGACCTGTAGTACTTCAGAAGTTGGACTTTGCAGTTATCTATCGTTAGACGGACTAGTCATCGCTGTCCAGCTAAAAACGAGAAAACTGATTTGTGTTTGTTGGGAACAATAATGTACGAACCGTACAGTAATTTCTCATAGTGTAAAAACCGTTGGAAATTGGCGTCCCGTCATTATCGGAGTTCGTTGTCAGTGGTTCGAATGCTTTAAAGGAGATGCTGGTGATAACCAGATGCAACTGCTCTTTCCATCTACATTAGTGTTTAACCATCGGGTTTCACGGTCCTTATGCAAAGTAAGCATAATCTCCTTACGTAAGGATCTACGTTGATGGTTACATTCGCAGCTAACCAGAAGTTGTAAAGAGCTTGTAGAAACCTATTGGTTATAGACAGGACGTTCCCCAAGGTTGCAGATGATTTGGTTGATCATTTTCATAAAGTTATGTGCGTACAGTCATTCCTATAAATACTTTTACGTAAGTAGCTAGCATCAAACCTAGCTTATACAGATACTACAGTCAACTTGCTTACATCTATTGGTTCAGGATTATATAGTTGATGGGCACAATCACATACAATTAACACAAACCTAGGGATAATCAGAGTCAAGTTAGGTGCTCTACTAGGAGCTGGAGTGTTATGAACAATCACGCTAGCTGTAGCCGAAAGTGATGTGATCAGTCTGAATTTCAACTTTAATTGGAAAGGAGGAACCTCAGGCAGCGCGCCTCAATGTTAACTGATGGACGTTGGCACTAAATGAAACTAGGTATGGATAGAACAATGAGAAGACCGAATTCACCTGACAAGCGTGATGTATTTGCGCTATATATTTGGAAAAATTTGGTCACACATACACTTGTCAAAGCATTTTCTATGAGAATCAATAATAGGTCAATTAAATAAAAGTTCAAATAAACATAAGATAATAACTGTGAATAAAGGAGATGGAAAAAATGTGTCTCAAATGATCCGGTAAACGTCGGAAATAGAAAATCATTTTCATCTATAGCAAAACACTATTAAAACGCGAGACAGAATCGACATCAAGACAGCTTTTCAAACATTGTGTAGCAGTGTTCAGGGATGAATTCTGTGGTTTGCAGAGGCTTCGGGTATGTGTAAATTTGTTATAACCTTAAATTTACCCTGGTAATCTGTGAATCATTTTACGACCTAGCGGGACGTGACAATTTTACAATAGGTTGACAAGTATATGTATGACCAGATTGTTTCAAATATATAGCGCTAATTCCTGTCGTTTTTCCGATCAACTACATCTCATTATTCTGTTAAAATTTATACAGAGGACTGATTGTTTTTAAACCAGGCTTTTTTCTGTGCATAAAAACTTCAGAGTGCAGTCATCGTGGTCTGATCTGCAACCAACCAGTCCCCATTAGCCACCCAAGCGAATGAATCATTTACGTGTAACATTTTACTTGAGTATTTGTACAAATCAAGTATTAGTGTATTTTTGGCTGGTGTCGTCATAATTAAGAGCGAATAGGTCTTCACTTTTACACCAGTCTTCTGAGTTCACACTTCGCATGGTGCTATTCGTGGTGATTTCCTGTTCTTAACTATTAGTAACGGCCAGCCTAAATATTACAAAAATACCTTTTTAAATGTCAAGAAACCTGTTCCACATTCCGTATTCAATGACAACACTCTTAGTTTTGACCAAATAATGACTTAAGTTTACTTAAACCGAGACATTCTCATCATTACTTACTTACTTACGCCTGTTACCCCCAATGGAGCATAGGCCGCCCACCAGTTTTCTCCAAACAACTCTGTCCTGGGCTTCCCTCTCCAGTTCTGTCCAGTGTTTGTTCATTCCTCTCATATCTTTCTCTATCTCTCGGCGTAATGTGTTCCTTGGCCTTCCTCTTTTCCTTTTGCCTTGAGGGTTCCATGTGAGGGCTTGTCTCGTGGCGCAGTTAGGTGCTTTTCGTAGTGTGTGTCTTATCCACTTCCACCAGTTCTTCCTGATTTCCTCCTCCACTGGAATCTGGTTTGTTTTCTCCTACAGTTCGTTGTTGCTGATCGTGTCTGGCCAACGAATACGAAGTATTTTGCGTAGACAGCTGTTAATAAACACTTGTATCCTCTGGATGATGGCTTTGGTAGTTCTCCGTGTTTCGGCTCCATACAGTAGAACTGTCTTGATATTTGTATTGAATATCCTGATTTTGGTTCTGGTTGAAAGTTGTTTGGAGTTCCAGATATTTTTCAACTGTAGAAATGCATCCCTTGCTTTGCCAATCCGTGCCCTCACATCTGCTTCGGATCCACTTTGATTGTTGATGATGCCCAGGTATGTAAAGGTGTTAACATCCTACAAGGCATCCCCATCAAGAGTGATTTGATTGGTGCATGTTGTGTTGCATCGGAGAATTTCGCTTTTTCCTTTATGTATGTTGAGACCTACTGGTGAAGATTAAAGTATAAAAGAATAGTAACAAGTCAAAAGAAAAGCAGCGCAAGTTAAAACTAGAATAATTGAATTCAACTGCTAATAATTAGTTATTATTTGAGTTGGTTGTGAAGCATGGCAAGTGAATCAATTTTTACGTCATTATTGATTGTCATTGTCGAAATAATTAATTCATCGTTATGACAATTTGCTCTATGTGATTGTCTGAATGTTTGCTCAGTATTTTTTTTTCTTCCATTTCAATATGTCTGTTGTTTGTCTAGAGTCTCCTTTTAAGACAGTTTTTCCCACTATTCGATCGTTTATTGCCATCAGAATTCCCATTTGTTTATCCTTTAAATTTTAGAATCGGTCCTGATGGTGTCGCTTTACCCGATATGCCATTCAGTAATGAAGCATACACATTTGCGAAAGAATTGTGCATGCAACGTAACGTCGAGATTAAAGTGGAAACAATCGATAGGGTAGGAAATTTCGTTGGATCGATTTTCTTGGACAACCCTGCACCAACTAATAATAATAATGGCCCAGACACTAACAAGTCGTTGGGCAAAAAGAAGAAAAAGAAATCTACGGAAATCACCGCTGTCAAACCAAAAACACATCTTAGTGTCTTATTAATATCTCAAGGTTTTGGCACTGTTCATCGAGCTCCCGCAACTGAACGACTGCCTCATTATCAAGATATGATAAAAGCGGAGGAGGATGCTAAACTTAATCAATACGGTCTATGGTCATCTGAAGAGTTCGTGAAAGAATGGGAAGCTGAAATCCAAAACAATGCAGATCCTACTGCTCTCAGTGGCGGCACAGAGGATAGCAATCTTAATTCATTGACTGGTTTCTCGGAATATTTAGATGACTTATCAGAATTACAAATTAACGAAGATGGTGATTCAGCAGCTGTGATCAATGGTGAAAACACTAAGGTATAAAAGTACACTTTAATGATGCATGTATTTTAATGTTGCTAATTTTGAATTATATATGCATGTATTTAGACAATATTTCAACGCATATATGTATGAGAAGCGTATTTACCTCAGGCTAAAATTCTCTTAAAATGTCCTTTTACAAATGTTACACAGTAAATCTGTACATGAATTTATGTATTTAAAATATGAAACACCACTCACTCTCTAACCATTTCCTATAGCAGTTATCATGGAAACCTGTTCAAATAACCGGGCTCTCCAAACCTGCTGGTAGTCAGGGTCTTCGATTCTTTGCTCAACACTTGTCAGATGCATGTACTCTGGTCAAGATTAGTCAAATGCTGAACAGTCAATCATTCCCTTCGTTTCCGTCGGAATTCTATCCTAAAAAAGGCAGTATGTGTATTGCCTGTTTCAGTCTAGATAATTGCTGGTACCGGGCACGCGTTCTTCGTAGTTCACCCAAATCTGTTACAGTCCAATTTATTGACTTTGGTAATGAAGAAGTGATCGATGCAGCTGAATACTCATCACGTCTTTCTCCTCTTCCATCTGGTCCATTGATGCAACTGCCACCACAAGTGAAAGAATACCGTTTGGCATTTGTCCAACTTCCTCCCGATTCATCCGATCGTGTCTTTGCAGAGCGTGCTTTTTGCGACCTTGTTGAAAACAAGGAAGTAAGTAAAGTATTTGATCTCAAGGTTACTTTTTTGTTGTTTCTTGTTCATTTGGGGTATGATATGTACTAATGACATCAATATACCATTACAGTGCATCTAATTCATGACCGAACTTCAGTCAGTCAGATGCAACGTAGAACTTTGTACGTATGTACATAAGTTGATGTTGCCATACTACATCAGCACAGAGATATAATTGTCAATTCAAATCCAATAGTATTAGAAGTACTAAAGGTATTAGAAGTAATCGGAGAGGTTAGGATTAGAAGATATTATTCAAGAAGTATGATTCAGTGAGAAAAGTTTAGAAAGTCAAAACTAGAGGTGTTGAAGAATCCAGAAAATTAGGATTTGAGAGAACACAAAGAATAAATGCACTTGCGCCATTGCGAACGATTTTGAGCCATGTCATTCAGGGTATCTAACCATCGATTATTATCATCTCGCGGACCCCAATCAGGTAGTCCATAACTACCGACATGGCTCAGTCCACTTGTCAATGATTTCATGGATTTCTACCATGTTTTGGTTTCGCCGCCCCTAGCTTTCTTCCAACCTACTCCTACACCACAAAACATAGTTCGACGAGGCAGTCGGTGTTTGAGCATTCGTAACACATGTCCCAACCACCTCAACTGATGAAGTTTCAATACTTCATCTATTGATCTGCCATCTTTACCCAGCACCCGATTCCTAGTAAGAACGTTGCTCACTCGAGTGTCCCACGATATATGAGCAATGCTTCGAAGACTCCTATGATTGAATACTAGTAACCGAACATAAAATATGTGCTTCATGTGCTTCTTGAATTTACTGGTCAACATTGTCTGTGTTATTGATTTTAAGTCTTTGGCATGGAAGGCACCAACTTTTCTCCACTCACCATGCAAATGGATATAATAACTTAGCTTTGAAATTTTTATCATTTATGCAACATACTGGTTTATAATAATCCATATGTGTTTGGTTTATCTCGCATGCGTCTACACACAATACAAGTGCAATAGAGCGTTATCCGAATAAATC